GGCTGCACCTGTTGGCCTGCAGGGACACATGGAGGAAATCAGTCACTGGCAACTGTTAATTTCTCATTAGTCTCTTTCTGCACATTGTAAACAGATGACAGTTTGACACCTCAAGACCGAAGCAGGTGCAGCTCCTCATTTAGCGGCCCTGTTAGCAAATCTGTCAAGAATCCCACCAGAAACACTGTTGACCAAAATTTTGTTGGGATGACTACAACTAAAAATAAAGAATTTTACTTTTTTGGGACTTTTTTGGTGTCATTTGGAGCACTTCGTGACTTTCATCTTATCTTATAAAAAACTGACATATACCAAATGAACTCCTGAAAAACTGTTTATTTACAAGATGTGAAAATCTTGCTTTGTTTTCCATCTTGCATTCAAGGTTTTTTTTAGGTGATATTTAGCTCTAGACGCATGAATGAATAGTTTTTACTTTCAATCGCATGTCAACGGTAATTTCAATGGTAATTCCTGCCAAATCAACCGGCGGGATCAAGTGATACACAATGCAGAGATGGGAATTGTGGAGTCACCAAGTCATCTCCATGCTGTGTATTTGTTCTGCTCAGTTACTGAACCAGGTGCCTTCACTAATGCGCTCACCTTCCTGGCTGCTCATTGGAAGCAGCTGGTTCAGTGACAGAGCAGAGCAAATACATGGCATGGAGATGGTGACGCCATAATTCCCATTTCTGACACAATGGATTTTTACAATTTACCAGGTAATCCGACCTCCTCACTCACTTGCCTCCAGACTAGCTCCTTTTTCATTCCGGGTTTGGTAATTGAAAGAAAAGGTATCATATAATTCGGGGCACCCATACACAAACTCAAATCAGTTTGTGCTCCATTCTAGATACCAGCGAACAACCGTCCGTTTTCATACATCACCCGGCAACACCGTGCCAAGTTGTTATTGCAACGCAAATATTTGCTCAAGTTGAGATTCGCCCCATTTGTGTCATTCGCGCTGCCAGAGTCATAGGATCATCTAATCGCATCTTTGGATTTACTTAACATGTAATTCATTTGCGCAGATAATTTTACTCGCGCTTGGTGTGTGGAGACAGTAAGCGGAAAAACAACCATCTTTTAGCAGCTTCAACAGCCCCAATCTAGAGATGCTTCTTCAGATAAAAACAACATGATGACTCCACTTACAGCTGAAAAATACATCGACACACTGCTGGAAGGCACACAAAGAAGCTCAATCAGACACCTGATATAAATGGTCTCCATTAAGTCAAGCCTTAGTCCTGACCTGGTGGACTGTCTCTTTGTATACAGTGAGGTGGATTCATAATTACAGCAATTTGAACTCAATTAATGAGACAACAGAGGATGTTTTGTGTGCTGCAATACGGACCAAATTGTTCTACCCTGGAGGTCCAAGCTAGGGATTTTAAATATGCTGTTAACCCTAAACAAAAGTAAATTATGCTATAATTTCACTTATCAACATTGTAAAACCAGCGATCATTGGTTTGAAATTCGAGATTTTTGCAAATGCTTTTATTTAGCTTTTATTTTGTAATTAATTAAAGCGCGTACTGCAAAATCAGAAGCCCGTTCTTTTTTTTTCTTGATTTTACTCAAATGTCTTTTCAAGAGTCAAGTTAAGTCTTTTTTAACTATAAAATTGCCAGATTTAAGTCTGATTTCAAATCTTTTTTTTTTTGTTTATTTGCACCATTTAAAAACCATGGAGTTATTTAGTTTAGTAAAATATGAAAAGGCCCTTTAGTCTTTTAGGTGTAAAAACAAACATACAGACAACAAAAAAGAAAACTGAAGCAGCACTGATTATTTCTTAAATTTAAACGTTAACCATTGCTTTCCTCCTGTCGTCAGTGGTATAGCCCTGGGTGTATTTTTCACCCTGTATTGAGGATAAATTGACCCAGGAGGTTGGCTGAGGTGTCTTCCTGTCTGTCAGCCGCAGGAAACGACTCCACACAGACGAGTCATTTAGCTCCCAGGTGCAGAGCCACCATTGGACGGCCTTGCCCAGATGGATAGTCCTCCTTCCACCATAAAGACACTAGTCTTCCCCCTGCCCTGAAGCCACCGGTGCTCCTGCCCTGCTGCAGCCTCATCAAAAGCAGGCGGATATGCTGGCCTACAGCCCCAAATACAAAAGTTGGATTAAAAAACATGGGGGAGGTGCAGTTTTCCTCGTAGACACCAGCTTCTTTCTTTCTCTTTTCTGACTTCTGCATGTGTGGCTTCTTGCAGGTGTCCTTTTTTTTTCTCCTGACACTGAATCCAGAAATACAGTCAAACCATCACATGTTGTTTTCTTTCATTGCTCTGTTTATTACCGCTCATTGTGGGATGGGCACTGGAAACAAATAGATCTCACATGCACAAACTCATGCACACACACACACACACACACACATTCATCCTGGCTGCCTGCACTCTGTTCTCCTGCAGGTGCGAAGGCCATCCGCCGGGCCCTTTTCATGAGGCCCTCCCTTTCCTGTCCGTCTGCAGCCGTCCTTTCAGCTTCAATCACAGCAGCAGCCGGACGCCACCGGACCGCTGGCGGGGAAGGGAAGCGCCTCCACACACATCTTTCACTTGTTGAACGACAAGAGAGGAGCGGCTGGGGGAGAAAGAAAGGGTCTTCCTCCTCTGCATCTCCTTCTGCTTTCATCGTAAACAACTTGCTTTCTGTGTGTGACGGTGCTGTCCTTCCCCTCTTCCCCCTGCCTTCCTTTTCAGATGCTCAGATGGGCTTTACAAGAAAAAGGAGGAGGAGGAGGAGGGGAAGGAGTGCAAAAAGAGGACGGCCAGGCTCCCCGTGCTATGGAGTGATGCTGAGCTTCTTTTTGTGGCTCATGAATGGCACGTTTGAGGTTTCCAGCCTTGCTCGGTGCCCCGGCCAGCTTCACCTGTGGTCGGAGTCAATTGGCCTGTTGTGTGCCTGTCTGGAAGCGTGCCCAACTCTCTGCCAGCTAATTTGGTTAGCTTAGCCGCTAAGAACTGAGCAACAATAACCCCCACCTCAAAACCATCAATTAACTCCCGCCACACAATGATGCATCCATTCACTGTCTGCCAAAACTGTTCTCTGACACGATTAATGCCCATGCTAATGCTGCTAATACCTGCTCTCTGTCACATCACAAAGTCCTGATGATTTTAATTTAGATTAAGAGTAGTTTAATGACTCTGGTGCTACTTTGCATTAAGAACACAATGCTGTGTTTTTATGTCAACTTTTGACAAAGAAAAAGGGAAGAAAGTCAGTAATGTCAGGTTTCAACACCACATGTTTTAACACACCATCAATTAGGTGCCATTTTTCATATTATAGAAACATATTACAATTGAGTTTAGCAAGTAAGATTAAATGTAGAAGAAGTTTCAAAATGTGAATGTATATTGAAGTTAAGAGCATTGTTCAAAAAGTCAAACAAAACCTAAACTAGATCTGTACAAGATTTCTGCAATTTGTGACATCACCAATTGGCGAATCTCCTAAAAAGGGCATAATAATTAAATATAACCCTTACCTTTATTTTGTTGCTGGCAATTTTTGTCACTTTCTGAACCTTCTGGACTGTAAATCAAAAAAGAAAAAGTTTTTAGCACATGAGTTTCATGGGGCAGGTGCATAGAAAAGGGATAGATGTTCAAAAAAGGAGGAAGAATCCTGTCCAACATGCAAATTGGAAAATGTGCGTGATTCTTCCTTTTTTCTGGACCTTCTGGAACAAATAAGGGGTGCTATCAGACAGAAACATTGAAAAATATATATTTTGCATAACCGTACAGTATGAGATTCAAACACAAATTTAGAAAATACTTTTCATTTATAGGATGTTAGAAAGCCTACAGATAGGTATTAGGGATATCAACAGCATCAATCAGCATAAAAAATGAAAAAATGAACCATTGAGATACAAGGTTTCTGTCTGACAGTAACAAGATGTTTATTTTTTTATTAATACAAAAACAACAGACAATTTTGTAGCACAGCAACAGTGGAGGAGGGTTCAAGAGAGCTGAGATTAGTAACAAGCTTTGTTTTAGCTCTTAATCTCTCAATCAGAGCTGTGTGTCTTTTTTTCCAGTAGTTGTGACTAAAGGTTTAGATTCATTGTCAGCCATTTGATTATCTAAGAGACCTTTTAATTTGCCATGCTTTCCTCACAGAGCAGAATTGTTTTTTATTTTTATCAAACCTGGCTGTACCCCCTGACATTACTCCCAACTCCGCCTTGGAGTCCTGGCCCAAAGTGTGGGAATCACTGGTTAGCCAGAGAGAAATGATCCTTCCTCTGAGGACTTAAATGTCTATAGAAGATAAATGAAATAATAACAAAATATCAATCCTCTTAATTACAGTACAAATAACTTGTGTAGTAACCTGCTGTCCTGCAATTCCAGTTGTATTTTTTGGACTTAGTCAGAACAAGCATGACCAAAATCCAATCTAATCCAAACCAATTCATAGGATTAAAAATACAGTAAAATACATGAAACATACAGCACCCAAGAACACTGTTAAGTAAATAAAATGATGTTGAATATGGTAAATGTGAAGTGTACAACTTCTATTATCTTATCTCAGCACACCCTGGGAAAACTAACACCCTCCTTTCTGCCCAAAAAATGTCTTTTCTTTTCTTTTTTTGATAACACAACACAACAAACTTTATACATGTTTCTTGAATTATTGGTAGTTGCACTAGTCTTCAATCTACACTTTGTGAAAACATTTTAATCTTCAAGCTTAAACTGTAGAAAAAAATAAATAAAAAAACTTGAAGGAGTAACTCAATGATTCACTGATTCTGCCCTTAAATTGCCAAATGTTCACTTGGGTTTTGCTGGTCCAGGCTTTGTCTGATAGTTAAGTTTTGTTAAGCTGCTAGATATCAGAAAAAGTCAGATGTGTAAACGTGTGTGTCTCTTAAAAGCAAATCATGTGTCTGGGAGGAGTTGAGCTGAGCTGGGGGTATCTGAGGGGAGCATTTAGCTCACTTATCCTCTGTGTGAGCTGTCAGTCTCACCGCACGCAGCTGTGGAAATGAGATCAAACTGAGCTGAAGCTCTCAGCAGGCACACAGGAGATCAACAAGAGGAGGGGTGAAGATCTGATTCCTACAGTTCGGAGTTTTTTTTTTTTTTTACAGGGAAGAAGAGTGAAGATATTTTGCTTTGATTAATTTTGGTTTTCTCAAATTTAATCAATTTTTGAGACCTTTTGTAAAACTTGACTTGAAAAGAAGATGAATGTGCCAGTTTTGAGGCCCCAGGAGCAGCCTCATCCTCTCTGTGGCCCCCCCTCGGTCCAGGATTTACCCCACTGTCCCCCTGGGTTCAACCTGAGCTCCCGCCTGAATCCCCCTCCCGTCCTTGGCCTGCAGAGCAGCCAGAGATCCTCCAAACCTCAGAGGGAGCTGAGCCCTGAGGAGCAGCAGGAGCTCCGCAGGAAAATCAACAGCAGAGAGAGGAAGCGGATGCAGGACTTGAACATTGCCATGGACGCCCTGAGGGAGGTCATGGTTCCTTATGTCTCCTCGCCGTCCTCCTCCTCCTCCTCTCAGTCCCATCAGTCTGGAGCTCCTCCAGGACGAAGGCTCTCCAAAATCTCCACCCTGGTTCTGGCGAGGAACTACATCCTCCTCCTGGGCTCGTCTCTGCAGGAGATGCGGCGGCTGCTTGGGGAGGTCAGCGTGGGTATGGGGGTCAATTCTGGTCCTGTCCCTCGCCTGCTCCTCGCTGGAGGTTGGCCCCTCATCTCTGGCCCTGGTCAGCTCCTCCTTACCCAGGAGTCCCTCCTTACCTCAGCAGCATCGTCCTCCTCCTCCTCATCTGCATCATCGTCCTCTGCTGCTAAATGTCCCCTGCTGTCACCGGGCCCCATGGAGGCTTCATTGGCTCCCATGCAGTGGAGCTCAGCAGGGGCCTCAGGAGGGCCCCTTTGCCCCTGTGGGGTCTGCAGACTGCCCAGATTCAGCCACTCGAACCCGGCTCCAAGATTCCCAAAGTGACCCCATGAAGATGAAGGAGGAGGACTTATGAAGACTAAATGACTGTTACATGTACACAACTTTTTTGATATGATATAATTTAACATTTTTATAATAATCTACTATGTTTACTTGTGTTTAATGGACATTTTTCAATTCTGTTGATCTATTATCTTGTTGGTTTTTAAATGTGTATACAGAATTTTATTATCCAGTTTTTGTTTATAAGTCATGTTTCATTATTTCTTTGTATATCATAACCTGCGGTGGAGACTGAGTAAGTAAAGAAGTATTTGTACTTTTATTTTGAAGGGAAATTTATTTTTACGTCACTACAATTGAAAGACAATATTGTACTTTTGATTCAACTATATCTCTATGAATCTTCTGACTCACTACCCTTACTCTGAGGTCAACTGATGAATCTCTTTCCAAAATCCAATCTGAAAGATAATAAACTCTGTTCTTATACGTCTATGTGTGGTTTGTCTAAATGGTGTTGCCTTACCTGTACACCACCTGAATGAAGAGCTTGTATTAACTTTGACATTGTTTATATTTTATGGTTGGTAATTCCTGTTGTTGTTCCAGTTATTTTGGAGCTGAAATCTAAAAATTGGGAACAGGTGAGTTAGTAAAATATAAATGGTGTTTTCCAAATAAACACTGTGGCAGAATGTACGCCTATGTACTCTTGAATGCACTGAAAATGTTTTATATCTGTAAAGAGAATAAATTAAAGTGCTTTCAAATCCTTTAAAACTATACTCAGTTGACTTCAGGTGTCCAGTAATCCTTGGACAATGTAACAGCACTTTTCAGGAGTTCCAATTTGGTTGCTATCTCGCATGCATAAAACTTGTTCCTCACAAAAGTGAGACGTATGTCTGGTCTCAATATGCGATCCTTAATACATCCTAAAAACACCCCAGTAGTCCAGAGTGTTGACTGGTCTGCATCAGGTTGCTCAGCAAGTGCAATGAACTTCTTTGATTCACCTTCATCCACAAGTCAGTAGCAATTCACTCACTTCAAAACAGAGCTCTTCCACTGTATGTTATTCAGATGTCCACTGACTCCAGTCTGACTGTATACTTAACCCATAAGCGCTAGCTTAAAATTCTGATTATTTTGATGGTTTTTAATTGTTTGACACAAAGTGCATTTTACTCTTGACTTTTAACTGGGCTGTCAGAGACTCTTCTCAGAGCTCCTCCAAAGAACTTTTGTTTGTGTATATTTTGGCGCCCCCTGTGGACATAATAGTTTCTGTCATCCTAAACACTCTGAGTCGTGTCCTGTGCACTCCTGTTTTTCCCGGGACTCTCCCATATTCCAGACCTTTCTCCCTCCCACCTCCCGTATTGTCATTTCTCCCGGGATTCTCCCGTAGTTTGTTATTGTTAAAGCAAAACAAAAAAGTGTGCAGCTTCACTAATACTTTTTTGGATGAGCAACTTAATTACAAATACTCTCATAATTAACTCATATCAACCATACAAGGTAACCCCAAAACTGTGCTGAAAAAATCTCCTGGATTTTCTAACCCAAATGTTAGCAGGTGTGGTCCTGTGGCACACAAAAAAATCTCATCCTGCTGATAATTTCTTGTGAATGCTTTATGTTGAAGTTGTAAAAATGGCTGCCTGGCTGACACCTACCCCCTCACACCAGTTTCAAGCATCCAAAACAGTCCTCATCTCATCACTCATTCATTGCCCCAACAAGCAAAAGATCAAAACCCACCCGTGTAATTACAGCTCAGCAGAAAGCAGGCCTTTTGATTATCAGCCCCCTCTCCTAAATTTTTGATGTTTCTCTGTGTTAAGGAGCCGGGACGGGTGATTTGGTGCAACTCATTACACTCACTGCACAATATGTTCAAACGCCCAGAAAATGTGTCTTCCTGAATAGGCTTCACTCCTGCAAAATCGCCTTCCCTCTGGAAGAAAGCAGGCGGTGAGAATAAGAGGGTGCTCGTCGGAGAGAGGATATTCTGCGCTCAAACCTGGCCCTTAGCCCAGCCTGCATGAATAAAAATAATGCAAATAATCATAATCATAATGCTGATAAAATACTCAAAATAATTGCTATCCTGGAACAAAGGGATTATGGAGGGGAGATCTGTGAATAGTGGCGAGTGAAAGGCCGGGAATCTATTAGCATCAGGGGGCACAAAAGAGGAGCTGGATGCCATTAAGTGAGATTAAGCTAAATAAGGCTTGATTTTCTTACAAGGAAAAGGGAGGAAGGAGAAGAGGGTGAGAGTGAAGGAGGTGAGGAGGGAGGTGTGATTCACAGATCAAAGTAAGACGGCCAAACTTCTCGTCTTTCATTTACATATAGCTGCTTTATCTCCGCAGGGATTAGCTACCTTGCTATTTTCTCCGGGTTGCTCTCTATTCCGCCACCTTTTGCCCACCATCCATTTCCTCCTGCTCTCAGGATGGTCTGGCCCTTCTTCTTTTCTTTTCCTCCTCCTTAATTTCTCCCCCCTCTTCTTCTCTGCTCTTTCTCTCGCCTCCTCCAAGAGGCTCTCACTTTCTCCTGTTTGGAGGTTTCATTGTTGCAGCGACGCAGGGGTCTGCTCGGGCTTTGTGTGAGCACTTTAACTCATCTCCATTTCATCACTGTTGTTCAATGGGCCGAGGAGAGCTTCTAAGACAATACACACACACATACACAGACTTAAGGCTGAATGCTTCTCGTTAAAGCCACAGCAGACTTAATATCTGTGTCATTGTTTTCTAGGAATGTTTCCTCACTAAGAACTTTGACAGAGTCGACCAACAGAGCAGCAGAAGATGACGGAGATAAAACCCTGAAAACATAAAGAGGCTGAAACACGAGTTTAATGACACAAGAGAGGAACCAGAGAACCTTCTCAAAATCTAAAAAGTTTACAGATCTAGATATACTGTGATGGGTTGAGTACTATTTCAATGTTCGTTGTTTTGATTCTAGTTCCACTTACTGGCTCTAGTTCACATCTATTCTTCATTACAATGCCATTATTACAATATAAGATAATTGTGTTGATTTTGGGTTTGATTCCCTTTATCAGCTGGTCTGAAAGTTTATTTTTCCAGATTATTCTCTGGATTATTCTCTAGTGTGACGTGTGCAAGGAGTAATTATTCTTCCCTATGATCCATACGACTGACAGTTGGAGCCTCACCAACCCCCCGAATAACATTTTCAATATTTATAATCAGAAATGCTTCTGTACGTGGGGACAACGATCATCCACTCTGTTGATTAAGTGGAATAACTCAATAGCAAATTGGAAAGGAGGCTGACTAAGACAGGAAGCATGACAAATGCAACCATGGCAACGACAAAAAACATGATGCTTATGCTGCATTCGAGTTACCTTGGAAGTCAGAAGTCTGAGCAGGGAATGATGTTACACCCAAGTTACCAGCGTCGGAAAAAGTGAAATTGGAGGCGGAAACAAGATGGCTACATTGTTGAAAGTTATTTTGGCGCTTGCATTGTCCGAATATAAGCAAGGAGAGGGCAAGCGCTTAAATAACTTTCGCAGAGGTAGCCATCTTGCTTCCGCCTCCGATTTTTCTTTTTTCCGACTTGGTAACTGAAACGCTGGTAACTTGGGTGTGACATCATTCCCTGCTCCGACTTCTGACTTCCGAGGTAACTCAAACGCAGCCTTTAACTGAGATGGACAGAATTCACAATTTACAAAGTGTAAAAAAGAAAAAAACAACTGAAATGACGAGGGGAGGCATTGAAGAGAAATTGCTAATTCAATGGAAACTAAGCAGATAGCAAGGGTTGGCTCCAGTTGTCTGCCATGCTACTTTAAAATCCTGTTTGACCTCAAGAGATTTTGCCAGATTTTCAGTCACAAGAATAGGGTCTCTGGCTGCAGAGTCTTCATGTGTGCTGTGTACCAGAATGTAAAAGTGGCATTAACTCTTTAACCTTAATTATCTATTTATAATCTCTTCAATTTAATTTCCACCATTTTGTGTAACATTAAAGATCACCAGATTGCAGAGATTTTTACGTTAGATGCTCAAAATGTTCAAAGATCCGTTTCCTCAGATCCCCTTTTGCAAATTTTTACATTAACATATTAGATGAATTCTACTCTGTGGGTATGAAGGGTTTGTAAAACTTTTCCAACTCTGTAACCTCCAGTCAGCCTATCCCCAGGGTTAGTAAAATACAGTTTTACCAGCTCATTCTTGTTTTTGACAGCATTTACCCTTCAAACAGTCTGGAGTCAGTGATAGCATGTTTGACTTTATCCCCACATGTGTCTCTAATGTGGACGTTCACATTGTCTCTCACTGTCCTCCTCTCCTGCAGCCTCTCATCTCAGAGTGTTGTTTGCCTGCGCTCTTTGTCGCTCTGTTTCACAACACTTAACCAGTCAACGTGGGGAGTCCTTGGCTGAGGAAGTCCTGAGCCATAAATTTCACCTCCACAATGAGCCGAGCACAGGGGCTGGTCAGGACCCCCATTTACTTTCTAACCCAGCTTTTATTCCTCTTCTCCCTAAATAACATCGGGCCCTCCTGTGCCGTCCCACCCTGAAACTCCCGATCCCCTCCGTCACCCCGGCTTTCTCAGACCGAGCCGATACAACGGGGTTACCGCTGAGCCCGCCGGCCCGCTCATTAAGCATCGTGTTCTCTCCCACCCATCCCAGCCCTCTGTCCTATTCACACCGCCGCCCTCATTACAAGTTTACAGGCCACCATCAAACCTCATTACCCCGAATGTGCCGGCTAAAAGACAGCTGAGAGGGTGTGTGGTCACAGGAGGAGGCTTTGTCTTTGCAAAATCTGGAGGTAACCTAAAGATTTGCAAATCATTTGGATTAGGGGCGATATAAGGCTGATTTGAAACTGAATGGTATGTTTTAACATGCTGATATTGTAGTCATATATTAAGTAAAACACTGAGCAGCGACTCAAACTTTGACACTGCAGCTGAAATAATAAAATTCAAGCTTTTTAACTGAACTTGTCAAAAAATGCTTTAAAAAGTTATAATTACAAAAGCATCTAATTTAAACACAACAAGCACAACAAGAGATTTTTTAAGACAGAGACTGAAACTGATACTGATGCCTTTTTATGACTTCCAAAAGCCAGCAAGATAGTTAAAAACAGCTCTGGAAATTTCTGAATTGTAATTTTTAATGCCTGAACTGCTATGAGGAGGTAGGAGTCAGACTTTATGATTGATAACTGTCTGAAAAAAAATAACCTTTAGTACTATTGTCACAGCAAATACTCACAGGTGAGGTTTATGACTGTAAATACTACTTTCACCTAAAGGACAAGATATATAAGCGGTATCACTTTGTCCACAGGGGGCGCTGTAATCTGCACAAACCAAAAGTTCCTCGCAGCAGCTTTAACAAATCCAAGGTGGGTTGCATAATAATTAATCTGGATGCTGTTGGTCTCATATGCTTTCACAGGACATAGAGAGGCATCAGTATAAATTTCAGTCTGATCTACAGCCATGAGCAAACTCTCAACAGGAGCTTTAATAAAGCCTTTCAGTAAGCTGTGTTCATATTTTAAAGCACAGACTTCAAATGTATGTTTGTGACATTTGAGAATGTGTCTTATTCTTATTCTTATACGTTGGTTCTGAGTCTTTGTTTTTCTGTTGAAAAAAACAGCGAAATACGACATTTGTTACTAAAAAACACAAGACTAGCACACAGCTTGTGATGTGTGACATTTTCAGCAGCTGTTAAGAGGAACTCACATCTATGAAGAGT